TAATGTACGGTTGACATATCTGAGCTGACGCTGAATGATGTTAACTGTTGTGTAATGACAAGTCAAAAAAACAAACACAGAGGCGTTTTATGAAGCTGTAGCCCTTCGTAGCCCTTGTGACTGCGAAGGCCAAACCAAAATGAGATGCCTCCGGAGGATTTTTTTCGCTTTGCGTCCCCTGCTGTGTCCGACTTTACCGTTGAGTCACAAAGCACCACTCCTGTTGGCTGGAAACCTTGACAACACGGAATTTTTTTTTTTTAACAAAAATTTCAGGTTTTCATAAGGCCCTCGGTTTTAACAGTTGTACCGTTATTTATTTAACTTGCGTGTAATCCTCAGGCTCTCTGTCGGCGCTGTTTGCTATTATTTTGATTAGTGGTGTGTAATGAATCTTGGGATAGGTTGGGCCGCAAAGGACTGAGTCGCAACGATGTATCGCAGTCGATGCAGCCTCTGAATATGCGGCCCCTTAATTGGGAGACAACCAGTATACCTCGAATTCCAAAATATCATGCTAATAAGATTAGCCTAAGTGACCAAATATCTGTGGTTAGCTTAACTGAACAAAAAAGATTCATACCTACATTTACAAAGGATTGTCTGGTCAGCTTAATCATTAACTATTGCTTCAAACTGTAGAAGATAGAGGCTGATACATGACAGAATGTAGGCTCATGTTTAAGATGGGAAAGTCACACATTACCCAGGAATTAAGCATCCTGTATTTATTTGTTAGTTAAAGTTCCACTATATTGAGTTCAAGTTCAAGTTCAAGTTCAAGTTCAAGTTCAAGTTCAAGTTCGAGTTCAAGTTCAAGTTAAGCTTTATTGTCATTTGCACACATACATGACATACTGTAGGTAACAGGGAGAGAAAAAGTGTTCCTTGTGGACCAAAGTGCAACATAGATTACATATTAAGTACAAGCGCAAAACAATAAATAGGAACAAAAACAAAGTAGTCATAGACAAAAATTAAAAATTAAAACTGTAAACTAAAAATGAATATGTAAATTCATCACACAATCTTCAGCACTCTTACATTAGCAGCAACTTGTATGTAAACCAGGTCCAGTGTATTTTCTCCTCTTGAAGTAAAGTTGACATGCTGGTGGATCTTTAGATTTGCATGAGTGAAGTTTCCAGTGATGATGCAAAGTCCACACATGCTGTTTGTTGATCAGTGATGTTACAATAACAACTCTGCAGATAGTGTGAGTGGAGTCTGTACTTACTTAGCTCTGCACTTAGCGCACACACATAAGATTGATATGTTGTTGATTTCCTCATCGCACTCTTGGAAAGATGACAAATAATCATATAACCCAAAATAAAACTATTCCTTTCAAGCAATGACTTTAAAATGCTTTTAGAATATGAAACTTTCCGCCTCAGCACCTCTCAGTGGCATAGAATCAGAAATCACTCTGTGGCAGACGGCAAATCAGGCTGATATGGATTTATCAGGATGGATGACATTAATAATAATTTATAGCGGTTGTACCTTATTTGCTAGGTTTATTGTTATTTGTATGTTTAAGAGCAGCCAGTGCTTTTTTTTATCCAGAAAAATACGAATTCTCTAAACTTTTATTCGATTAAAGTTGTCAGAAAATTCAAATCTAATTCATTACAATTTCATAAAATGTACAGAATGTCACTGTATGTATCAGGGTCCTGACAATGGAAATAATGTCAAAGTCAAAACTTGGTGAACAAAGAGAGACCTCTACTGTATATCTAAGTTACTACACCCAAATTCAATTCAATTCACTTTAATGTCTATAGCGGCAAATCATAACACACATTATCTTGAGGCACTTTACAGAGTGAGGTCATGATCTTACAGTATTATAGAGACAAATGCAAAAGTTCCCACAGTGAGCAGCAGCACTTTGTGACAGTGGAAACAGAACCAGACTCAGGATGGGCTGGCAGGCTGGTTGTTATAATGGTAATAATAATCGTGATATATAATGATATATGTAATAATAACACCAGCAAAGATAGCATCACCAATTTATACTACTACTACTAATAATAATATTAAATAAATAAACTGAATAATGATAATGATGAGTGTTGAGTAGTAGTGGCAGATCTGGATCCTGCAGCTGTGGAGTGACACCTGCAGAATGAGGACAGAGAGGAGAAGCACGACATGTTTTTCTCATAGCAAATGGTGAAGGTGGACTGACAGAGTGTTCGACCCGGTAACATTCTGTAACATTCTCCTCCTCTGTTCCAGGAGGAGAGGAGGTCTGCAGTAGGAAGCTGGAGCAGAGGCAGACTGACGCCTGGGAGGTCCGGAGAAGCCTGAGGGCCATCACTGGTTACACTGGTTAGAGTCCGGAGTGGAGCTGGACCCTCCGCATGTCGTCACTGACATGGAGGACGTTGTCAAAACTCCTCTCCATCACGGACAACGTCTCCCTCGCTCTACTACTACGTCACAGAAGGTCCTTCTTCCTGTGAACGTACACTTCTTCCCCTTTCTGCTGAATCTGACCAGTTTTTACAACTTTGACAATCTACCGTCCCTGCTGCTAACTGACTTACTCACATCTAAATCAGTGCTCTGCTGTTAAACTGCTTTATAACACTTTTCATTCAGTTTACTGTTAATCTACTTCACACAGTTTCATTTTGGCACTTTTATCCATTCTGTGATTCTACATTACTTTTCACTTTTTGCACATTTGCATTCGTACATTTTTCTATTCACTTAGTGTGAATTTATTATTATCACTATTTTAATATTAGTTTTTACAGTTTTACTTTACTTAATTTACTTGCAGGGATCAATAAAGTTTGCTCTTCTTCCTCTGAGAGAGAAGACACAAAGTTAATGACATGCAGTAATGTGATGGCAAACAACAGTGATGCAACTATTTGCACACATCTTTGTACATCAGCCATATATTGAAACGAAAATAGTTTCAAATGTGATGTCGACGCAAATTCAAACTGATTCATTCTTTAATCAGTGAATAAAACTGTTATTTAACATGGTGCTGAAGTAATGGAGAAATAAAACACAAATAACTGGTAATTCTTTTGTCACACAAACCCGTTGATGTTCAGAGGTAAGACTGCCAGAGACCTGTCGTGAGAAGAGGAGGAAGGTGGAGAAGATGGAGATAATAAGGAGGAGAAAAAAGAAAAGATGGAGAGACAGAATGCAAATGGAGAGAAGAAGCATGGATGAAAGGGAAGAGGAAGATGATGATTAGAAAGGTATAAAGAAAATGAAGAAAAAGACAGTTCATTTAGTGACTTCTTTCTCATTTCTCAAGTCTATACAATGTTTGTTTCACAGTAAGTGCTGTACTGGGGGTGCACTGCTTGTGCAACTGGGTCAGGGATCAGGTGTTGGGTCGAGCTGAGGAGTAGGACGACGAGAGAGAGAGAGAGAGAGAGAGAGAGAGAGAGAGAGAGAGAGAGAGAGAGAGAGAGAGAGAGATATGAAAGCACGGTGAGTGAACCTTTGAAAACCTTTTTGTTTTTGAGAGAGAAACTACTATGCGGTGTAACACTAGTTTAGTTAACTAGTAGTTAAGTTAACTAGCCAACTGCTACGTCTAGGAGGTGATTGCTAATGACTGACGATAAGTAATCACAAAAGCCGCAATTTGCAAGTAGCCAAATAAACCTGTCAGGTGTAGAGATCAATAAAACCAGGCTATTCTGATCAGACTCAGGTTACTGAGTGTGGGTGAAATAGGCTGGTAACCAGAGTGCAAGCAACTGAGCAGAGCTGAAGTGATAGTGATAGTGAAGTAACTGCTGCTTCAGTTTTTATATGGCCAGACCAACCAATCAGATACTAATAAACTTGGATTATTTGAATGTGGCATGTTTATGATTGGACAAGGACAAAATGAAATACTTTTCAGTGGTGGGACAGTTGCAGCAGTTGGTGGGACATTGCCCCCTTCATGCCTATAGAGCCGGGCTTGTATGTCCCTATATTAAGAGTGATGTTGCCATATATGTATATGTATACAATATACACACATATATATTTACTAATATATGAAATAGATTTTTTGATAATAGGCTACTCGTGTACTTTTATTTATTTATTTTAATTTTTTTTTTGGGGCTTTTTGTGCCTTTAATGGACAGGACAGTAGAGAGACAGGAAATGGGGAGGCAGAGAGAGGGGGAATGACACGCAGGAAAGGGCCGTCCGAAGCGGGAGTCGAACCGGGGGCCAGCTGCAGGGAGGGCTGTAGCCTCTATATATGGGGCGCCTGCGTAACACACTGCGCTACGCGACGCCCCGTGTACTTTTATTGAAGATGAGGTTTCAATGCAGGTCCTCCGCCTTGTTAAGTACAGCCAGATTATGCTGTGAGCAGGACTTGAACTTGCACATTGAACTCTCATTGTATTTCAAGTCCAACACTTCAACCACTCAGTCATCGCAGCACATCAAAGCTTTCCTCTCAGTGATACAATCATTGATTACAGTCATACATCATTGATTGGTTGGCCGCTGATTCCTTAGACTCTTCAATGATCATATGATTTATTAAGCTGAACTGGAAGTCAGCCACGAGCCCAGTGCCAATCACAGAAAAAGACAGATAAAGAGTGTGTGTGAGAATGTGTGGGCCTTCAGTAATGCTGATGCATCTACCACTTCAAACGTACATCGTGATTTATTTACGTGCTTTGGTTGGGAGCTCATCCATTTCATTCCTCCCTGTTTTTCAGCTTGTTTTGCATTTGACATCTGGTGCATATTGAAGCCAACACATGTTAGAAATTAACAAGCCTGTGTGTGAGTGTTAGATTTGTATTTGTGTGTGTGTGTGTGTGTGTGTGTGTGTGCGTGCATGCCTGTGTCTATACACATACATGTTGGAGCGTGTCTGATTGTCTGCAGCCACTTATGTAACTGCAGTGAAGTCAGAAGAAGGAACTGTCACTATAATGTGGATTTAACTTCTGCATTTCCTTTGAAGTTGAGGCTTATTTGCATGTGCAGACATGCAGACTGGACATCTACCTTTGTCAGCCACATTGATTTGCCTTTGGCTTGCGATTTCAGGAGCTCTGGTAAGAGCAGTGGACAACATGGAGGGAAATGATGCAGCGTCAGAGGTGAGAGATGCATGGCATGTACATTATTAGCACAATGTGTATAATCCACTGTCTGTCTACTGTCCTTCACCAGGAAGCTACACCATTTATCAGATCCTGATACCCTGATACTGCATATATCTGTATTTGTCTGTATGATACTGTATACTGACAAAAACAAACAAACAAAAAAACAAAGATTATTGGCTATAGCCTACACTTTTATTGATTGTCATGAAAACCAGTATGAACTATTGTGGTATTTATTGCTCCTGTTGTGGAAAAGTGCATTTGCAGGTATATTCAGTCATGTGAAAAAGCTCACACCGTACAATGTGTATTATATTCTAGCACATTTCAAATTTAAATTCATATTAAGCTCTAAGGTAAAATGTACCATTTCTTTCATAGTTTTCCCAAAAAAAAGAGTTTAAATTTAAAATCCAAAATAAAAGCTCACCATGTTCATTTCCTTTTCAGTCTGAATCAGTTGATTTCTTCCCCACAGAAACCCATCCGTCAGTCCCACGCTCTGTGTGCTGGTGAGCAGGAGTATGTTGACAGGAGGAAGAGAGTAGTTCTGGAGTCAATCAACAGCCTGGAAATCAACTGTACTGCAGTAAGACAGAACCGGCTCACACTGAGAGAGATCATCTCTGTCTGTTTTTTTTGTTTCTTGTATTTTTCTTTGGGAATGTGTCATATTTGCACAAATGTTCTTCACATGTTTGACTTTCATAACTCATATTTACTGTTTGTCCTCCATGACTTGTATGATCATTGTTTCTAAGTCTTACAGTAACTTGTGCAGGCTTTAGACAAAGACTCCTATGCACCTCTTCACACCAAATATTCTCTGTACTGCTGAAGCTATGGTTAAGTGACAGATACTGTGGTCGGTTACATAATATTATTATGTCACAATCACAAGATATTTAAGCGTGTTATGTCATACCCCAAAGCAAAAAAAAAAAAAAAAAAAAAAAAAAAAATAGTTGAGCCCCTTTTAACTCCCCTCCTCAATCCTTTCAACCTCTCACAGGCCTTCACTACACCTTCACGTCTAAACACGTCTTTATTTAGGAATCTGCAGTTTGAGAACATGGTAAAAACTAAATTAACAGAGGTGCTATAAAAGACAGAAATAATGCAGGACCAACAGTGTATTTTGATGGAAGCTAAGGACATGGTAGCCTGCTCGGCCTGGTTAGTAACGCAGCCTTGCATTTAGAAATAACACTGTATAAATAGATGTGGCCCGATGTGCTATGACTTTAGTTTACGGGACAGTTTTCTTCTAATGAGCAACAAATGATCGGTAAGAAAGTGAAGCGATAAAGGCCAAATAACATATGCCTGATAAAATATGAAATTACATTCCTCTAATTACAGCTGTCTGTAGAATAGCGTCAAACTGTAGCATATTTTGGATCTGATATTACATTGTATTTTATTTCTCATTAGACTATGATCTTGTAAAATGGTGTCTAATAGTATATTAATGAATTAGAGTATAATTTGGTGTAATAGTGTCTAAGTATCATTTATTTTGAATATAACATGTAATTATAGGAGGTTTCTAATTGCAGCGTAATTTATGTGTAGCCTCTAAAAACGGTGCATAAAGAACATATTATTTATAGTTTTGTCAAATTTGATACAAGCTGCAGCTTGTTTCATCTTTAATAAGGTTGGAGTACAATAACACGTTTGAAACAGAACAGGTAATACAGCTTCAAACCTATGAGGTTTGTGAGTTACATAAAAAGCAGCCTCTTCTGATCAGACAACTGGAACTAGTTTTGGCCCAAAATGAACTAACTAATCTTTTCTACTGGTATTTTTGTAACTTTGATATGTAATGCATATTCTTCTAGCTTACTGTTTCCTGAAATTAGCTTAGCAGCTCTCCATCATCTCTCCAACCAGGACTCAGTTCCCCACATTGCTCTGCTGGCATCAGGCGGGGGTCAGAGGGCGGCCGTGGGACTGGTGGGTTCCCTCTATCAGATGGAAAAGGATGGTCTGCTGGACACTCTGCTCTACCTGGGAGGAGTTTCTGGATCAACATGGTAACAATGATCACTCTTTCACATGTGTGTGAATGAATGAGAGCTGAACAGATGGAGGCCTGATGGATGATGAGCAGCTACCAGTGACGTGCCCTTACCAAAGGCCCTGGACCTTTCAGCTTTGAATGCGATTTGAGATGCTGCAGGAGCATCTGGAAAAAAAGACTAATGATCGGATTAAACTATATGATATCTGTATTTAATTATGAGGTTTATTCTCTTTCACTGTGAGGAAATACTCAAGTAACGAAGAGTAGGACGTGCAGTACTGTTTTTATAAAAGATCTACAGCTGTGCTAGCAGCTCTTTGAGGCTAAATGCTAACATCAGGCAGCTAACATGCTCACAGTGACAGCAGCGAGACTGACGTCACCTCTGGGCTAGCTTCTGGTATTTAATGCAGTCTCTCACTCAAAATTACTTGCATTGGTTTTTCCAGAAATGAAATGTGCTCCTGAGGTTTAGAGTTCAAAAATGATAGGTAACTACACACAGGAACAGAAGTCGTACAGTAAGAGCAGCACAAAGGGAAACACAGAGACGTTAGCAGACAATCTGACCACTGAATGGGGAAACATGGCTATAATAAGAGAAGATGAGGGAACGGAGAAACAGAAGTGTAGATGGATGGGGAAGTTCCAGTGATTGAAAAATGGAAAACAGTTGAGCAGGTGGAAGTGGGTTGGAAAGGGGAGTATGACAGGTCCGGAGAAAGGAACAAGAAAGTCCAGACACCCTCACCGCTGTTATTCTAGCAATGTCTAAACCAAACCAGCATGAGCCCAAATCTCAGCTCCATACGCTCCCCACCTCTTTGCCCTTTTTTATCATTAGCTGGGAGTCAGGCGCTGCCGAAATGGCGACGGTGGATCTGAACTTCAAAACTGGTCTTCAGAAACCGGCGGGTGAGGTCATGGAAAAAAAGAAAAAATACTCAAAAAAGAAATACTCAACAAACAATAATAGTACATTTTTTACCTATTTCACCTCACAACATGACGTCTGTGTTCCAGTGCTGTTATTTGTGTTACTACAAGTGTAAATTGTTTTTTTTTCAACAAGGTTTTATAACTTCCAACAGAGAACTTGAAAATCCCACATTTTCTTTGGGTTTCTATAATATTTACCATGTTCACCATCTTAGTTCAGTGTGTTAGCAAGCTAACTAGTGCTAAACACAAAGTAATAATAATAAACTTTATTTATACAGCACTTTTCATACAAGAGATGTAGCTCAAAGTGCTTATGCAATAAAAAAATGCAAATACTACAATGAAATAGGGGCGAATAGGAGGAAAATGAAATGAGAAAATAGAAAGACAGTAGATGATAAAATATGTAAATAAAAATAAAAACAGAAACTAGCAAGAATAAAATATGAGAGAATTAATTCAAAGCCGAATTAAATAAATAGATAATGGCTAAACAGAAATTTTGACCCAGTGATACAGTAGATGAAAAGTTTAGGGATCACCAAAGTCATTGCCTACATGTTGTAGATGTGTAGATATTTCTCTGGAGAAGTGAACACTTTGACCTGCTAGTGGCGCTAAATGAAATGCCAGGGGATGACAAATGTCACGAGGGTTCATCCTTATAGGATCATGAATATCTGTACAAACTTTCATGGCAATCCATTTAATATTTGTCCTAATATTTCAGTCTGGAACAAAGTGATGGACATACTGAGCAGTCAACCAACCGACATTGTTGTCACCACAGCCACGCTCCAATGTGGTGAAAATAATTGCAAACTTGGCTTCTATGGCCCACAGAGGAGGGTCGTCCAATCTCTCTGAGCGTGGGTCACACCACTGCAGGGACCAGTAACATGTCATGGCCTGGTTGTTGAGAATCACTGCTAAAGAGGACAGCCAGATGTAATTTACTGGAATTGAGATGGATGTTGGTGAATCAGTCAATACATGTTGGGTTTGTTATTTACTCTCCAGTGAGAATGTTTCTCAGTGTTTGTGAAAATACTCAATTATCCCTGTTTTAGCCACGGGTTATAAATTAGAACTGATACAACTGGATTGTTAGATTAACATTTGGTTGGAACAACTTTAAACACAATTTCTACTACAGACATTACTAAAAAAAAAAAAAAAACTCATCATACTTTAATTTGACCCTTGTCTGTCTTCCTCTGATAGGTCCATGTCCTCCCTGTACAGTGACCCGCAGTGGTGCACTAACATGGACACAGCAGTGTCTAAGCTGTCAGGTCCAGGGGTCGGGCTGGAGCAGGCGCTGGCCTGGTTGGATGAGAGGGCAAAAGAGGAACTGTTCTCTCTCACCGATATCTGGGGGGTGTTAACCTCTGCTGGGATCATGAAACAGGTACTAGGGAAAACACACACAAACTTTTACTCCAAACACACCCAAAGATTTTATCGGCAGTCCTTCAGAGAAATATCTTGTTTTTCATCAGATGGACTTGCGGCGTCTTTCAGATGAGGCCAGCAGGAATGCCACCAACCCTTACCCCATCTACAGCGCCATTGAGAAGCAGTGCTTTTCAAATGGGCCCATAGAAGGTATGCATTTGCACATGTCACATTAGGACTAACTGAGTCACTGATTTGAATTACTGTGTAGAATAAACCTCTCTCTCGTAGGGAAATGGTTTGAGGTGAGCCCTCATGAGGCTGGATTCACAGAGATTGGTCTCTTTGTTAAAACGTCTCTCCTGGGAAGCAAATTCCAGCGTGGAGAGCTGCTGGAGGAGAAGCCGGAGATGGACATGGTCAAACTACAAGGTTGGTGTTTACAGGTTAAAGCAGCATGATGTGAAAAACCAAGGCAGAAAATCTAAAGCTGAGCAACAGCTTTTATTTGAAGTATAAAAATCAGCTACATGTTAAAGCGACAGGAATTCTTTTTTTTTTCTTTAGGCAATAGGCAACTCTTTTCTAACACATTAGCCATAATAGGTTTATAAGGTGACACTGTGTTAATATTGTATTTTGAGCTTATTATAGTGCACCCAAAACTCAATGAATCTAATAATTATAATTAAAATTGAAAAAAGGTGCTTTAACAAAATGAGATAAAAATTGGTAAAATCACTTTCTTTATTATTTGTTTGTATAATCTGATTTATTTTGTGGCTGTTTACACTTTAATGAAAGGGTTTATTCAAATGTATGAAAGACCAAAATAAATCTCAAGATCAAAATGCTTCTGAAATCAAAACTAATGAACCTAACAAGATGAATTTTACAAACTTCAAATTAAATTAGGTATTTCTCTCTAACATTAAATATTCATGACTAAAAAAACAATAATCAAAGTTTAAAACTGAAAAACTCAGCTAATCAGCTTCATCCGGACTTGTTTGATCAGATTTGATTGACAGTGACCAAACAACCAACTAATTGTCGTTTTGCATTTTGATACAAGTGTTGTTAAATACATTATTTTCGAGTAGTCTATGAGTTAATGTAGGATGCCATCACCCATGGTATGAAGCTGACTGACAGAATGAGTTTTTAGAATCTTTAAAGGTGCATTTCTGCCATTGCATATCACACAATAATGCATTGATAGGACTGTTGGTCATGCGTGTGTGTTTGTGTGTGTGTGTGTGTGTGTGTTGAAATTGTGCAGGGGTTCTAGGCTGTGCGTTGGCTCATGAGGACATAATCAGAGAGTTCATCCCTCCCTGGCTGAATGGTAATCACAATGATATCTACGTAATCATCATACATACTAAATGTATAATATAGTATGTTTATCATATATTACACACTTACTCTGTGTGTGTGTGTGTATGTGTGTGTGTGTGTGTGTGTGTGTGTGTGTGTGTGTGTGTGTGTGTGTGTGTTTGCTTCAGTGCCGGGGCATATAGACAGTGCTTCTCAAGAGTACCTGCGTGTATACAACAACCTTGATAAACTGGTGGTCCTGACCAAAAGCACCATTCAGGATCCTGCTGCTCTGTCTGACCTGGATAAGCTGCAGAATATACTAAGAGGTAGTGATGATGATGATGATCCTAATGAGGATTTACTATCAGCTTGACATCGTATTAGTTTTACTGATTAAATCCGACTGTTTTGGTAGCTCTAAGCTAATTCGTGAAACTGCATCTACTGATAGCCAGACAGGAATGCCATCAGTGTTTCAATTTTCTTCCCAATTCAAATATTTTCTTGGATTGTGATGAAATAATGACACAGAAAATGTCTGATTGAAAAAGCCACAGTGCCCATTAGATTCTTATCTTTTCCAGACAAGGTAAATCATAATGAGTCTGCGCTGCTGGAGTCAAAGAGTGCGGAGGAAAGAAAAAGTCTTTTTCAGCAGTGGAGTCTGGAGCTGATGGTGGCAGTGCAGACCTGGAGCCAAAGTATGGAGGATGGAGTCTTCAAAACATATGGTCAGTGTAGAGTATGGCAGAAAACTGCTCAATACTATTGACAACAGACACATTTTATTTAAATGAGATGGAAACAAATTTCTCTGTTTCTTTTCCCCCCAGTCTCTCTGCTCACTAAACACATCATTCCCCTGATTATGAAATGGGAGTGGGGAACAACCAGAAACTTCCTCTACCAATACCAAGGTGAGAAGACACACCTCTTCAGCAACAATAAAAACATTATCTGTGTCTGTAAAACTACTATAATCAATATTTTTGTATGAAAGGAATATTTTGAGATTTTAGATAATACGCTTGTGTGTTCTTGGAGAAAGTTAAAGGTCCCATATTTTGCATTTCTCTTGTGTTTTATTTGAAGTGTTGATCCATAAGAAGATATATTTGTGGTTTTAAGAACCAAAAACAGTTAGCTGATCAGGAGAACCTCTCTTCTGAGAGGCCCTTCAAGGTTGGATTGTGAGTCCAGGTGGGCGGGGGCTTGGGGCATGGCTGTTACAGACGGCTCGTTTTAAAGATCCCATATAGTATGAATGTAGATGTGTTGTTTGATTATAAAGCAGGTCTAGGTTCAATATAATACTGTGAAAGTATCAAAGCCTCAGTCCACAGAGAAATGCACACAGCCTGTATTCAGACACTGAGCCTTAAAACCAGCTGTCAGGACTTCTGGAACTTGGTGATGTCACAACAAAGCAGTCACTGCCCTCAGCCACAATCAAAGCCCCGCCCACCTGGACCCACCATCCAACCTTGCAGGATTTAGTATCTCTGAGTATTTACCTGAAATCTGCTATATTTTTATTGGATCACTCAGAAAACATTCTGCTGTAAAACTACACTGAGAAGGTTTTTGGTTCTTAAACCACAAATATATCTTCTTATGGATCAACACTTCAAATAAAACACAGGAGGAGAGTGTCTGAATACACCTTGCATTTCTCTGTGGACTAAGGCTTTGATAATTTCACAGTATTAATATAGAACCTAGACCTGCTTTATAATCAAACAACACATGGACATCTACCTTTAGACTATATGGACCTTTAGGATTTGAATCAATTAAGTAAACAAGACCTTGTTAATCACAGGGATGAACTCACAGATAATCATTAACTCTGCAGTTCACCTCAGCTCTGCTGAACATTTCAGCGTCTGCCTCTTCTTTGTTTTGCTTTTCCAGCCTGCAGTTTTACTGCTTGAGTTCAGTCACACAGCTGTCATCAGCATGGTTTCCAGCAGCAGCTGGCAGCTGTTTTCAGTGGAAAAACACACTCCACACTGCTAGCACAGCCCCAAAGAGCAGACAGACAAAGTCACCGACTAGCTGGTGAACAGAGTCAAGCATTTAGCAACTAAAGAGCCAAATATTTCCCTCAAGAGTTAGCAGACGCCAAAACAGAGTGAAAGAGAATAAATATTGAATTTACACTGATGAGGTGGCCTGAAACACTACTCAGAGTAAATGCTAATATTGCTCTGTGTCTGCTGGATGTGTAAATAACTGCTCACTTGAGAGACCCTTAGAGAGTACTTTTTCTTTCTTCCTTGATGACCCCTCAAGTTAGTTAGGAGATATTAAATGATGGAAAAATTAATTCTTGAATCGAAATATTTCTGTTGTCAGATTTCCCCATTCCTCCCTGCCTTCGCTGTCAAGAGAGATTCCACCTGGTGGATGCCGGGATGCTGATCAATGTGGCCTACCCCCCATTTCTGGGAGACAAGAGAGACATCGATCTCATCATTGCACCAGAGTACAGCGCTGGAAACATGTTTGAGGCACTGTGAAGAGTGTCCGTGTTGTGTTGTGTGTGTGTGTGTGTGTGTGTGTGTTTGTGTGTGTCTGTGTGTGTGTCTGTGTTGTGTTGTGTTGTGTGTGTGTGTGTGTGTGTGTGAACTTAAGCCAGGGGCAGCATTGTAAACCATGCAGCTAACATTAACATTATTAGCTACTGTAACTGTAGCTGATACAATCTGTCATTTCAATTGGCAAGAAATGAGAACTGACCTTGAGCTTCACCTTGTCCTGTACCTGCATGTACAGTATTGAAACTGAAATGTTAAATGATGTAGGATATTTCACCTCATGTATAATCAAAAACATACAGGTTAGATAAACAACATTAAAAATACAACCTCAGTGCAACAAAAGTCACAAGACCCATGACCACAGAAACAAAAGTTAGTTTATCTGTGATCTCTGCAACAAATTTGATTACACCTTTGTCCAAGTAAGACTGCATGAACAAGATTATAGAATAAAAACTGAACATAAACTGAAACACTTTATATACATTTATAGGGTTTATCTTGCACAACTATCATCTTTATCATGTTAAATAAGACATTTATTATTATTTTATGAATCAGGATTAAGTGATTCAAAACAAACAAGCTGTTAACCATTTACTTTCTGAAAAATGCTGTTGAGGATCTGAACTTAAATCTGTTTTGTGGCAGCCCGTAGTTGGACTGGGAGAGAAATTCAGCCCTGGACTCTGCTGGGTCCACCAGACTATTGTATTATAATTTTTTTTTCAGATAATCTGAACAACTGAGTTTTTCTTATGGACTGAAAGTTGAAACATGCATTGTCAAACTGTCAAAGACAGATTTGAAAAATGAACTGTTCTAGTTACAGAGTTTTAGTTACAGTAGCTCTCTGCCTAGTAGAGAGCCATGTCTGTCAAACTCTAGCTTATAACACAACCTTTCTGTCATAAATTTATTGCCTATTAAATCACTTAGGATATTTTTGCAGACTTGAAAAGGCCCCTGAGATGCCACAGGAGATTTTATACAGCTGTTTTCAACTGTTTTTCAAGCTGTTTTAACTATGAAAATGAAGATGATATTTATGTGTAAAGTTCCCCTCTGAAGAACCAGATAACAAGACAGAAAAAGCAAAGCAGACTTTGCTGTTGTCACATATTGGAAACCCAAACATTGTTCTCACAAATGCTTCATTACTGACCTACAAATACTCAATAAATAATTTATTATAACTTAAGATGAAGTGATATCTGTGGCTGTACCTGTGACTTATGAAGTGAAGGATGACTGACTGTTCACCATCTGCTCTCTTCAGACTCTGACTCTCGCCAGAGACTACGCAGCGGAGGTGAACAAGCCTTTCCCAGAGATAGATGACAAAATCCTGGAGGAGAGAGACTGGCCGAAAGACTGCTACGTATTCGAGGGAAATGAAAAGGCGCCCACCATCATTTACATGCCGCTCTTCAACAGACAGAACTGCAAAGGTCTGTTACACACACTGAGACAAAACTGCTCAGTAAACACAACCTTAACCTTCAATGGACAGAGACAAAAAGGAATCATGGATTTTTTGCATCCATGTTAGCCAACCAGGAAACCTGTTTTATAGTTTTTTTTTTGCTAATAGTTTAGATTATGCAGCAAAAAGGTTTTTAAAGCCACAGTGTAGGTTATCCACAGTTAGCTGGGAAACTGTGATTGATGCTTTCTGATTTGCTGTTTTGTGTTTTTATGTGCGGACACATTTTCTTTCCTCTCTAAAATGAAGCATAGTTTAGCACATGTACTGTATAGGGACTTTGCAGGGCAGTGTTATTCATGATTCCCTGTACAGGTACTACTGCTGTATACTGTGACATATATCGTACTATATTTGTGCTGCATTTGAAGCGGACCTCTATCTGTTTCCTTTGAACAACACCTGTTACTTTTTGTACATTTGAAACCATTTCTCTGAGTGGAAGCCAAGCTTTGTGTGATTTATCTTGGCTTAACTAATGAAATTCCCATCAGCCTCAGCTCTCCTTTGTCTTCAGTGCTAATTAGCACATGTTAGCATGGTGACACGCAAAGCAACAATGATAAACATGTAAAACATTATACCTGCTAAAGGTCAGCATATTAACATTGTCTTTGTGAGCATGTCTCCATGTAGACGTTAACATTTACCTTTTTAAGTACGGCTGTGCCTAGCAGGGCCTTTAATGAAGCTGTAGACTCATGGTCTTGTTTTAATATTGAAACGGTATGGATCTGATTTGGAACCAGTACATTGATATAGACAGTAATATATTAAAGACTGTGGATCTGCCTTAAACAGCCATAACCTGTTTGGTGGCTGTAATTCACAACTTCAGCTTGTTTTAAGTGTCAGACTGGTTTTTACTCAGGTTTTCAAAAATTATACATGTACCTATAATCTCTTTCCCTTATATGCTAGGACATGTACTGGTCCTGCAGCCTGCATATTAAAGAGTGTATTGTGAACTGCAGCACAGACTTTTGGTACATGTTCACTCAAGATGCAAACTTATTTCTGGCTGCACCATGGTCTGGATTTGGATGTGTGCTAGATTTTGTGTTTCAGTACCTGGCAGCACTGAAGGGGGACACATTCAGGGGCCTGAAACCATCCTAGAAGGAACATATACAGTGGTCTTACCTTTAAATTTCATACATGCATCTGATTTGCAGAACTAAATCCAAAGTCGGCTCAACTCTATGACTGATGGATATGAATTTAGGTCCTTCTAAGCACTGGTTGTGCTACTTGCGACTAGCTAGCCCAGTTCTGCTTTATACTTTTAGCAAGGAGTCGTGGAGAAGGAAAAGGAGAGTCACATGTGTTCACTGTTTTCTATAGATGCAGAGGAGTTCAACGCAAAGATGGAGGAGTTCTCCACCTTCCAGCGTCCCTTCAGCCAGGAGAAGATTATGTTTGTGTTGGAGACGGTGAAAGCTAACATGAAGAACAACAAGGAAACTCTGCTGAGGGCGATCAACAATGCCGTTGTCCGCCGACAGAACAAGAGGTAGGGAAGGGCCTGAGTGGCAGGAAGTCTTCCGTGAGACCATGAGAGAGAATCAGAGATCGTCTTTTTCAGCATCTAATTTGTGAGCTCAGTGTGTCTGAGGAAATAATGAGCCTCATTCCAAGAACATTCCTATCCTAAAAGTCTCTTACTGTTTCTGTGAGGCTGGTTTGTTCATTTTAAGTTTAACATAGAAGTTCCCCTGCTACCTTGAAAATGTGAGTAAACTGAACACAAGTTAAATAGTTAGTTGAACATCGTTTTTTGAGTTTTGTTAACAGAACTTGAGAAAACAAGTTCAATAAACTTATTATAATAATATGATAATTTGAGCTATTTGCATGAGGTAGTTTAGTGTATAATCTGCAGTAGATTCTGATTGGTGCCCTCTCAGCTTGAAGAAGTAGACCTAAAAAAGCCAACATCAGTTTAAGTGTACGGTTTTTTGTTTTTGAATATTTGCACTGTTTTCTGAGTTTTTTCTTATATATTTGTGATATTAAAGGGATAGTGCAGATTATTTGACGGGTTGTGTGAGGTAGTCATACATAGTCAGTGTGTTAACTGTATTAGATTCAGATCAGTGCGCTGCCAGTTAGGAGAGGCAGCAGGAAACACCGACACACTAGCAGAGCGATGTGCTGCTGTGCACGGGGCCAGCAGAAAAACGTGTCTTAGACACTTTTAAAAGACGCCCACCGAAACAATCCAATATCCGAATAATTGTAGCTTCATGTAGAATATTTCAGCACGTTATCTTCCCGTCAAAACAGCACTTTCCTTGGTACTACATTTTCACAACCGGTGAACTGCCGTATTCCTACGCAGAAGCACACAGTGTACTGTATTACGCCACAGCTGCAGGTCAGCTGAGTGAATCAGAAAGTGGAGTAGTACAATGTGCTCCCTCCATAGGTGTGCTTGGTCTCAGCCCCTCCTCCCGCTCACCAAGTTTTGTTTCTTTACCTATCATGGCCCTAATATGCCGTTGTAATTTATCCCCCTGTGAAGAAAGGCAATCTATCTGTTCATGACTTGTATGACATATCTGGACAACTCGTGGATTTAGCTCAGAACTAACTAGAAAATTGTGAGCATGATTAAACGTCTCACTTGTACGAACTACTTCAGAATGAATCTTTCCATACGACTGCTTCTTGCATGAGGCCCAGTGTGTGTGAAAGGAGATGGATGGATAAAAAAGGACTCAATAAAAGGAGTTTATATAATATCTGTGTGTCACTGTGTGTCTGAGACAGACAAAGAGATGTGGATGGCTGATGAATAAATAACTGACTTATCAGAAATCTATCATGTCCTTTTCTATTTTCTTCTCTTCCAGGAAGCCTGAGCTGAGCCGCGGCTCTGATTCTAATCCTTCTGGTTTGGTGTGAACTGAACTCTGTGGTTTAATTCATACTGATTATAAATCAGACACTGGCTTCCCTTTACATAGAGACCCTGCGCCAGGACACAGAGAAAGCACAGCAGTACATAATCATGTAATGCATGCATGTCTAAGATATTTGTCTTTTGACTCACACTATCAATATATATCAATTACATGTAACAGTATGTGTCTTCTCTTAGGTTTACTGTGCTGCACATACACAATATGTACATCTGGACACCCAGTAGACAGTGATACAGTGGTTGCGACCATGGTTTGGGGAAGTCCCTTTCCTGTTATAACAAGACAAAAGTGCCTTACACTAAGCCGGCTCCATAAAGAAAAGTTTTGTGGAAGAACTCAACCCCATCCAACACCTTTGGGATTAAATGGACATTAACCGATTGTGGATCAGGCCTTATCACGACAGGTGATCTGTAGTCTGTAGTTCATGACTATTTAAGTCCCACTCCACTCAAAAATGTTTTTTGCTTTTTCTTCATTCACTGCCCAACTGCTCAAAAAGTGTAACCCCCATTTCCAGCATATCCTCTAACAAAGTCAACTACAATTAAGTCCACTGTGGTCCTTAATTCAGGCCTCATTCAGACAGAAAGAAGCCCTGCTGCAAACAGCACAGCGTTTGTGGGGGTGTACCTTTTCATATGTGAGACAATGAAATACAATCTGGGAAGTTCAGTTGGATTTTATTAGGCATCAAAACACTGCACAGTGGTTTGTAATTCTCACAGAGAGGATTTCGGGAAGGATGAAAAGTAATCATGGTAGAAAAAGGTTTTATCCTTCATTTCATGTCGAGGCAAACAGCAGAGATTCATATTACAAAACTATATCCACAAGGAATAAGTGCAGGATAATGTCACATTGTGTTGCAGCTAAAGCTGAACCAGATGAAAATTTTTCGCTGCATTACACAGTTGTTTTGGACAATCCCTACAGCATCAGTGCACATCCCCCATTTATTAAATGGATGAGAAGGGTTCAAATTTTCCACACAGAGTAAATGTAGGTGTCAATGTGGCCTTAACTTATCCTCCTCCTTAAACCAGCTGTTTACTGTTAGCTAACACTAGCTACCACTAATTAGCTTAGGTGTCAACACTAACCAGGAATTCAGCTAATACATGTTTGAACAGCCTCCTGCCGCACAATCCATCTCAAAGTCAGTCACAAATTAAATTAAATATAGAGTCAAAAGCATCCCAGCAGCTGGATGGCGCACAGGAAACTGTTTTAATGTGAAAGGCTGTCTGTCATGGCTGCCATCAGCTTGTGTCAGTTCAAATAATCACTGCGTATGGTTACGCCCCCAAAGCTGTGATTGGAAAGTTGATTATTTTTCATTTGATGATACATCTCCCTCTTGCACCTCAGCAGGAAAACAAATGACAGTGCTTTGCAGCTAGTATTGGCAGCAGGTCTATGCTGCCCTCTGCTGGATGCACTTCTTAATGTTATTTTAATGTGTCATGGAAAATTTATATTACAATGAAAGACAATTCATCCAGGCTGAATAATGTGTCATATCATTTAACATAAGTTTTGAATTTAATTTTGACACGGTAGGTACATACGTAAACATACAAATAACAACATCTATTGTGTTTTACTTTATTTCTGTGTTTGACTTGTTTTTATTTTGGCATTTAAACTCTTCCATACATATGTCTTTACAAGGAATTTTAATTAAATTTTTCATCCTTAGAATTAAGCCTCAATGTCTTATTTCTCCATATGCAGGTTTGAAATGCTGTTTCAAAGCCAGTCAGGTTATAAACTCTGGCTCTAAAAATACATTCATCAGTCTAGAGAAATCACATTGTAGAATAAAGTCCCTAAATTCCCAGAAAAATACAGAAGACATGATCTCAGTGTGTTGAGGTATGGTCCTGCTCATACATACAGCATAGGTATATCCCATATCCTAACTGTTTGTATGTCATTATGTCACATTTCATCCTCCACACATACTAACTATAGCCTACAGTATGCTCAGCCTGACTGGCCAGTCACGTTACACCGCTTCTGAAAGCAGTAATTCAAACCTAACGCTAGAGGTCGCACAACATCCACACGAGGGAGTACCAACGTTTGTCAATACAGCGGTGCATTCATCAAAGCCATCCGCACATCTGTACACATCACTCTGCTTCCAAAGCTGGTCGCTGTGCCACTGTCGTTGTAATTTATGTAAAATAAAATGACTCATCAGTGCTGGATCATTTCTTTTAGTTCAGACAATCAGATTATCACTGACGCTGAGTTGGCTTTTGAGATTGGAATAAAAGCTTTGAAATGTCTGATTGTAATGTTTTATATAAGCTCTCACTAGTAGCTTATGGTCTGTATTAAAGTTTTTCCCTGCCATGCCAAACCAATTTGATTGTAGGCTATTCCTTAGTAGAAGTCTGACTTTAATGTAATTTGTGGTTTCCCATTGATAAATGAACTTTTTCTGTGTGCTTCACGGAGAGAACACTCTGCCATCATACAGTATCATTAACATGTAGCCTCTGTCTGTCCGTCAGTCTGTGCGCTCCTGGTGCGCTTTGCGTTGCCAGTAAAGTTGCCTGATCCGTCAGCAGGCGAACCCTGCGCCACTAACATCCACCCGAGCCGGAGGAGAAGCAGAGGAGGAAAATGCATGATAAAAGAAGTCACAGCTGAGATTCCTCTCAGGTGGATAAACAGATAGGTACATGAAACAAACGCGGGCAGGAAGGGTGAGATGCTGTCAAACCAGGAACCAAACCGGGAAGCGAAAGAGGACAACGCTGTGAGGGCGGATCTCCTGCGAGACTTCAGACCATCTCGGCGCTCCGTGAGGGCGAGACGGGGATAAGGAGAACAAGAAGCGGAGAGGAGGGGGAAAAATGCTCAAAGTTTGGCCGTGTCGTCTGGAAGTGCGACCCTGCAAAGCGACCGTCCCGCAACAGCTGAAGGAAATGAGCATGAATTGAACGAAGAATGCATGTCGTTTGGGATATATCTGTGATTTTACAAGCATATATCATCTGCACGTCATCAGGTAAGGAGACACAAGGAACTGCGACCCTTTAAAATATTAGAACAACGTAGAGATATGAGTGAAATGTTGGAGTGATGCCATTAAATATGAAAAGTACTTAAATATGAAAATCAGCCCACCTGCCAATCAGGTAAATCATTAGCTTTCACTTTTGATGAAGTGTGTGTTGTACAGTAGCTACTTATGTGTCAACAGGCTCTTTGGACAAAGAGACATTCAGTGCATCAGCAAGTGAAGCTACACTGAGATGATTGAATTCATGCCTGAAAACTCACACACCATAACCCGGCATTTTGATCAGCAGCCTCTTGTGCATGCGCATGCACTCACTCACTCACACACACACACACACACACACACACATTCTGATCATAGTAGTAGTAGCCTAAATACACAGTCTGACTCTAACGGCCTCCCACTGTGAATACAAGTAGTCCTCCAGTCTCACTGTCAGTGTGTCAGGGAGCTCATACAGTATGGCCGTGTCAGTGCGTCCATCTAGACAGACACTCAAATCCCTCAGTGGGATTATGGTCAGAATTTCATACTCCTCCCTGCTGAAGCTGTCAGCCTCCAC